TCATGGGGCTTGAACTCTGGACCTGGACGCTGTCCCTCAGCTCTTCAGCTCAAGGCGAGCGCTCTACCACTTAAGCCACCTTCCCAGCCCCCTGGCTTTTTTTGCTATGGTTAATTGGAGATAATCTTATAGACTTTCCTTCCCCAGGTTAGCTTCAAACCCCAATCCTCAGACCTCATCCTAGGATACAGCTAAGATGACGTGTGTGCACCTTCAGTGCTGGGCAAGAATCGCATTGAAAGACTTGATCAGGCAGCATGGCTCACGCCTGTCATCCTACCTACTCACAAGGCTGAGATCTGAGGATCACAATTCGAAGCCAGCCTGGGCAAGAAAGTCTGTGAGATCCTTATCTCCAATGAACTACTCAGACAAAGCTAGAAGTGGTGCTATGGCTCAAGTGGTAGAGGGCTAGCCTTGATCAAAAGAAGTTCAGGGGCAGTGCCCAGGCCCTGAGTTCAAGCCCCAGGACAGAAAGGAAGAAAGAAAGAAAGAAAGCAAGAAGGGAGGGAGGGAGGGAGGGAGGACGAACTTAATCACTCCCTTGAATCCCATCCTAAGGGATCCTCCCAAGTGCTTTTATTCCCCCCTTTGGCAGTATGGAGATTTGAACTCAGAACCGTGCATTTGCTAGGCAGCCACTCTCCCACGCCACCTCTAACATTCCTTCCTCATTTCCCTTCTGAGCAGGGCCTGCCCCGGCGCAGGCAGCCCCAGACTTCTCCAGCACTTTGGAGAAAGTGAAGGAGATTGGAAATACTCTCGAAAACAAGACCCGCACAACCATCGACCGCATCAAAAACAGCGAATTTCTTGCCAAGACACGGTTAGGACCCTCCCAGGTTCCCTAACTCCTGTCTTTGCCTCCTGGGAGAGACGGCTCTCCACAGCACCCTGGCTTTGGAGTCCACAGGCTGTGGTAGACCCTCTAGTCCCTGTGGGTGGATTTGGTGTTATTTGATTTTGGGCCTCCAACTCTCCTTCCTCCTGCCTTTATCTTCTGAGTGCTGAGATTACAGGTGGGCGCTACCATGCCCAGCCTCTCTGTGGTAGTGAGAGAGGGGCATCACCATGAGCCTCAGTTTCCTCGCCACTGAAGGGAAGGAAGGAGCACTTATAAATACCCAGCAGGTCAAGTGGCCAGCTTTCATTCCCTTTGACAAGTAGAGAATACACTTGTAAAAACAAAAACAACTTTTTGAGACGGGCACTGATGGAGTCCAGCAGACTCTTATCTCCAATGAAGCACCAGAAAACTAGAAGTGACACTGTGAAGAAAAGTGGTAGAGCACTAGCCTTGAGCAAAAGAGCTCAGGGACAGTGCTCAGGCCCTGAGTTCAAGCCCCATGACTGGAAAAACAACAAAACAGAAAGAGAAAGAGGGGGGGGGGAAGACAGGAGGCCAGGACGAAGCTCTTTTGACTTCAAGGTGAAAGTTAGGCACAGAAGCCAAGCCTGAAGATCCAGGAAGAGGATAGGATTTGGATGTCCTGGGGGCGTGGGGGTGTTGGCCACAGCAAGGACCCCCTCCATCTCTCTCCATAGGTCCTGGATTTCAGAGAAATGGGACAAAGCAAAAGAAAGGATCAGAGGCGCTTTCTCCTGAGCACATAGGAGGGCTGGGCCTGACAACTGAGCACACGGGATGCTCCAGCTCCCCCCAACCCCAGCCCATTAATAAAAATCCTTCAGAGAACCCTCCCTGAGTGTTTCCTTACTGTGGGGCTGGGCGGAGGGCTGGGCAGGGGAGGCAGCAGGAGAGAGGGGCCCTGAGGATCTCCGAAGAATCTTCATAAAGGCTTCTTTGAGATGGAGCTGGGTCTAGTGGTTCATGCCTATAATCCAAGCTACCCAGCAGGCTGAGATCTGAGGATCCCTGTTCGAAGCCAGGACAGAGAAATCCTAGAGACTCTAATCTCCAATTAATCAGCAAAAAGCTGAAAGTAGAAATATAGTTCACATCGTAGAGAGGCCAGCCTTGAATGAGAAAAACAAGTGGGAGAACAAGGCCCTGAGTTCAAGCCCCAGTTCCAGCACTTACACTCAATATCATAATCATAATCATAATCATCATAATAAATGATGTCTGGACCCACTGGGCAGAGATAGATAAGCCAAGGAAGCTGGGTTTTTTTTGTTTTTGTTGGTCATGGGGCTTGAACTCAGGACCTGGGCGCTGCCCCCTCAGCTCTTCAGCTCAAGGCTAGCACTCTACCACTTGAGCCACAGCGCCACTTCCGGCTTTTTCTGCTTATGTGGTACTGAGGAATCGAACCCAGGGCCTCATGCATGCAAGGCAAGCACCCTACCACTGAGCCACCTTCCCAGCCCCTTGTTTTTGTTTATCGTTTGTTAGTCCTGGGGCTTGAACTCAGGGCCTGGGCACTGTCCCTGAGCTGCTTTTGCTTAAGACTAGTACTCTACCACTTGAGCCACAGCACCACTGCTGGCTTTTTCTGTGGATGTGGTGCCAAGGAATCAAACCTGGGACTTCATGCATGCTAGGCAAGCACTCTACCACTAAGCCACATTCCCAACTTGACCACTAATGGGTTTTGAGTGGTTCATTGGACATGAGAGTCTCATGGACTTTCCTGCTCAGGCTGGCTTTGAACTGTGATCCTCAGATCTCAGCCTCTTGAGTAGCTAGGATGACAGACATGAGCCACCCTGCCCAGCAGAAGATTCCATTTGTGAGAAATGTTCAGGCTCTTACAGGTCCAGCCATACCATCAGAAAGCAAGGCCAGGCATCTCAAATCAAGCATGCGGGTGGGTTGTTTTAGGAGATGATGAAATTGTGCTGGAATGTGGATGTGATTGTGCAAACTGGAGAATCAGCTGAAAAATAAATCTCATTGTATACTTCCTGTTATTTATTTATTTGCAGCACTTTGGGTGGAATCCAAGCCCTGCTAGCATGCCAGGCACTAGATCCACCGTGACCCACAGCCTCAACCCCAAAGGGGTGAATTTTCTAGAATGGGAGCATCTCTCTCAGGAAGAGAGTAGAAGGCAAAAGTAGGGGCGGGGATGGGGAGAATATTTCAAAGTCCTTTTCACCCTAATTTCGCTGCTCTTGAGCAGCCAGAGACTCTCACCAGGACATGGGAACTCAGGGTTGATGGGGAGCCCTAGAACAAGCACCCTGGGGGTTAGAGGAGGGGGGGCCTGATGACTTGCAGCATACAGATCCTCTGGTCTCAGGGGTGTCCTGGTCCTGACCCCACTTCCCTCCCCCACGTCCCTGCTCCCATCCTCCATAGCTGTTTTCCTCCCTGACCACCCTGAGTGACCTTCAGCCTGTTCTTAGCCCCAGGAACAGCAAACATTGCAGACTGCAAACACCCAGCACCCCCACTGTACCCCCTGCCGGCTGACCTTAGTGCTGGGGTAGGGAGTATGGAGGGCAGAGAACTCTTTCAGACCAGCCCACCCTCCCTCCCTCCCTCCCTCCCTCCCTTCCTTCCTTCCTTTTCTTGAGGGTCATAGGGCTTCAACTCAGGGTCTAGACACTGTCCCTAAGCTCCTTTCCTCAAGGCTAGCACTCACAGCCCGACTTCTGGTTTTCTGATGGTTTATTGGAGATAAGAGTCTCATAGAGGGGGCTGGGAAGGTGGCTCAGTGGTAGAGCGCTTGCCTTGCATGCATGAGGTCCTGGGTTCGATTCCTCAGCACCACATAAGCAAAAAGAAAAAAGCCGGAAGTGGTGCTGTGGCTCAAGTGGTAGAGTGCTAGCCTTGAGCTGAAGAGCTGAGGGACAGCTCCCAGGCCCAGAGATCAAGCCTCAACACCTGTACAAACAAACCCCTGGACCACCAAGAAAAGAAGCAAGAAAGCAAAGCAGGGAGCGAAGGGATGGAGGAAAAGAAAAAAATGAACCAGGTGCAGGTGGCTCACACCTAATCCTAACTACTCAGGAGGCTAAGATTTGAGGATCACAGTTCAAAACCAGCCTGGGCAGGAAAGTCTATGAGACTCTCTTCAATTAATCACAGAAAAAAGTTGGAAGTAGAGCTGTGGTTAAAGTAGTAGAGTGCTAGTCTTGAGCAAAAAAAGGAGCTCAGGAACCATACCGAAGCCCAGAGTTTGAGCCCCAGGATGGACAAAAAAAAGAACGAAAAGAAGCCAAGGGCTGGGAAGGTGGCTTAGTGGTCGAGTGTTTGCCTAGCATGCATGAAGCTCTGGGTTCGATTCCTCAGTACCACATACACGGAAAAAGCCAGAAGTGGTGCTGTGGCTTAAGTAGAGTGCTAGCCTTGAGCGAAAGAAGCCCAGGGACAGTACCCAGAGTTCAAACCCCAGAACTGAGAGAGGGGGTGGAGGGCAGGAAAGGGAAAATAAAAAGAAAACCAAGGACAGGGAGCACATGCGTATACTGGATTCCAACAGGGGTCGAAATGGCTGGGGCCAGGTTGAAACCTGGTCACCTGACAGTGTTATGACCTCTTCCATCCACCTTTGGCCTATGGCCAGTCCTCAAACCCAGTAGCTAAAAGATCTTAGAAATTAAAAAAGGCTGAGTTGGGTATGGCGGTTCTTGTTTGACTGCCTGCCTAGTCTTCTAGAGGCTGAGGCAGGAGGATCTAAAGTCTGAGGCCAGCTTTAGATGACATAGTAAGACCCTGATTCCCAACAAACACACACACCCAGCCCTTGATGTGTGGTCTAGCCTGCTGGCCAGCTCCCCACCACCGGCTTCCTATTTTCTCCGGGATCCCTGCCCCCCCAAGGGTGGGCTGTTGTCCTGCCTGGAGAGGAGAATTTCTCCTGGAGTCAGGATTTGAATCCAGTTCAGTTCAGGATAGCAGAGAGCCTTTGACTTCCCATCAGGCCATCCTGCTGCTGGGAGGGTGGGCTGGAGGAGGCCAGCAGGGGCGGGCATGGCCTCTGACGGTCACCTCTGTCCCCTGGGCCCTTCTCTCTGAAGTCCTGCCAAGGGGCAGGCTCTGCAGGCCTGGACACTGAGCACAGAGGGACAGAGGGATGCAGGCTCCAGAAATGGCCCCTCTGAGTCGCAGGTTCTGGGCTGGGTCCATCCTGGGCTACGGTGTACTGTTCCTGGCCTTGGTTTTGGGTGAGAAACAGGAGGTGGCGTGCCAAGCGGGGACCCCGGTGGGGAGGGGGGAGGTTGACCATGCTGCTTGCCCCATGTGGACGTGTGTGTGTGTGTGTGTGTGTGTGTGTGTGTGTGTGTGTAATGCTGAGGGTGGACAATGGGGTGGGGGTGGGGCTGCTGCCAAAGACAGGGATCCTTGGTGCAAGTCCGTGCGTGTGCAAAGGAATCAGGATACCTCCACTGTGCACAGGTTCCTACAAAGTGCACACCTGCCCATGTTTTGAGTGTCTGTGAATGGCTCTTTTCTTTCTTTTTTGCCAGTCCTGGGGCTTGAACTCAGGGCCTAGGCGCTGTCCCTGAGCCTCTCTGTGCTCAAGGCTAGTGCTCTACCACTTGAGCCACAGCACCACTTCTGGCTTTTTCTGTGTATGTGGTACTGAGGAATAGAACCCAGGGTTTCATGCATGCTAGGCAAGCACTCTACCATTGAGCCACACTCCCAGTCATTTTTTTGATACCTGGTTTTGAACTCAGGACCTTGTATTGCTCTGCTGGCACTTTACTACCTGATCTATGCCTCCCCCCCCCAAAAAAAAAAACATTTTGTGCTCATCTTTTTAGAAATAGTCATCCACATTTTTATTTATTTAATTTTAATTTTTTGTTGTTGTTGGTCGTGGGGCTTGAACTCTGGGCTTGGGCGCTATTCCTGCATTCTTCAGCTCAAGGCTAGCGCTCTACCACCCGAGCCACAGCACCACTTCCAGTTTTCTAGTGGTTTATTGGAGATAAGAGTCTATGGGACTTCGCTGCCTGGGCTGGCTTTGAAACCTGATCCTCAGATCTCAGCCTCTGGAGTAGCTAAGATTGCAGGCGTGAGCCTGTAACTCAAAAATGGTAAGGATGGGCTGGGAAGGTGGCTCAGTGGTAGAGCACTTGCCTTGCATGCTCGAGGCCCTGGGTTCGATTCCTCAGCACCACATAAGAAAAAAGCCAGAAGTGGTGCTGTGGCTCAATGGTAGAGTGCTAGCTTTGAGCTGAAGAGCTGAGGGACAGCGCCCAGGCCCAGAGTTCAGGCCCCACAACCGGACCCCCCCAAAAAAATGGTAAGGATCTATCCTTGAACTCAGAGCTCCCAGAGCTCCCGGGCTCTGAGTTCAAGCCCCAGAACTGGCACCTAAAAATGAAAATAATGAGCCAGCGTTAGTGGCTCACTCCTGTAACCCTAGTGACTCAGAAAGATGAGGTATGAGCATCATGGTTCAAAGCTAGCCCAGGGAGGGAAGTCCATGAGACTCTTATTTCCAATTAACCAGCAGAAAAACAGAAGTGACACTGTGGTTCAAAGTGGTAGAGTACTCACCCTAAGCAAAAAAGCTCAGGGACAGCGCCCAGGCCCTGATGCCAAGCCCCATGACTGACAAAAACAAACAACAATAACAAAAAACAAAAACAGACTACAAGTGGAGCTGTGGCTCAATTGGTAGAGCTCTAACCTTGAGCAAAAGGTTTTGAAATCATGGGGCTGGGAAGGTGGCTCAGTGGTAGAGCGCTAGCCTTGAGCTGAAGAGCTGAAGGACAGCGCCCAGGCCCAGAGTTCAAGCTCCATGACCGGACCCAAAAAAATAAAAATAAAAATAAAAGGTTTTGAATTCAAACCCCAATACTGGCCCATACACACACACACATACACACACACACACACACACACACACACACACACTATACACTCTTTCTCCTGTATTATGTGCCTACATTGTAATTCCCACCACGATGCTAAAGTAGGTACCTACCCCATTCTCCAGGAGGGGAAACTGAGTCTTGGAGCACTGAGGCGCTAGGGATTATGCACAGGTGTGCCTGTTGAATGGCTGGTCTCGGAGCGGAGGCTCTGCTCAGGTGTGCAAGCTGTGTGGAAGGGAGCAAATTGTGAGTGGAAGTGGGGGCTGGGGGGGGGAGATGGAGACCTCTGGGTGGAGGCCACGCGTGAGGAGGGGGGGGGGAGAGCGATGGTGGGGTCCTGGCTCTTAGGTTGCTTTCTCCCACTCAGCCTGCTCATCCTCCGCAAGCCCAAGCCCTCCACCAGCGCCCGATGGGGGTCGCTGGAGCCTGGTGCGGACCAGGGTAAAGGAGCTGGTGGAGCCGCTGGTGACCGGGACGAAGGACAGGTGGCGGTGGTTCTGGTGAGGCGCTGCAGGTGCCGGGCTGTGGAGCAGAAGCAGGGCTCAGAGTCTGAGAGAGGAGGCTGGGGCCAGGATTCCTGGGTCTGAGGGAGGAGGCTGGGGTCTGGATCCCTGGGTCTGAGGGAAGAGGCTGTGGCCTAGATCCCTGGGTCTGAGGGAGGAGGACTGGGCCTAGATTCCTGGGTCCGAGGGAGGAGGCTGGGGTTTGAATTCCTGGGTCTGAGGGAGGAGGCTGGGGTCTGGACCCCTGAGCCTGAGGGAGGAGAACTGGGCCTGGATCTCTGGGTTTGAGGGAGGAGGCTGGAGTTTGGATTCCTGGGTCTGAGGGAGGAGGCTGGTGTCTGGACCCCTGGGTCTGAGGGAGGAGGCTGGGGCCTGGACCCCTGGGTCTGAGGGAGGAGGCTGGTTTCTGGAGCTCTGGGTCTGAGGGAAGAGGCTGGTGTCTGGATCACTGGGTCTGAGGGAAGAGGGTAGGGTTTGGATCCCTGGGTCTGAGAGGAGAGGCTAGGGTCTGGATCACTGGGTCTGAGGGAGGAGGCTGGGACCTGGACCCCTGGGTCTGAGGGAGGAGGCTGGAGTTTGGATTCCTGGTTCTGAGGGAGGAGGCTGGAGTTTGGATCCCTGAGTCAGAGGGAAGAGGTTATGGCCTAGATCCTTGGGTCTGAGAGAGGAGGACTGGGTCTAGATTCCTGGGTCTGAGGGAGGAGGCTAGGGTTTGGATCCCTGGGTCTGAGGGAAGAGGCTAGGGCCTGGATCCCTGAGTCTGAAGGAGAAGGCTGGGTTCTGGACCCCTGGGTCTGAGGGAGGAGGCTGGTGTCTGGAGCTCTGGGTCTGAGGGAGAAGGCTGGGGTCTGGAGCCCTGGGTCTGAGGGAGGAGGCTGGGGTCTGGATCCCTGGGTCTGAGGGAGGAGGCTGGTATCTGGAGCTCTGGGTCTGAGGGAGAAGGCTGGGGTCTGGACCCCTGGGTCTGAGGGAGAAGGCTGGGGCCTAGATCCCTGGATCTGAGGGAGGAGGCTGGGGTCTGGATCCCTGGATCTGAGGGAGGAGGCTAGGGTCTGGACCCCTAGAACTGAGAGAGTGGAACTGGGGTCTGAACCTCCGCTCTGAGGGCCCCAGATGGACCTTCTGGGCGGTACCCTAAGTAGCTGGCCTCTCACTGGCGCCCCCTCTGGCACAGGGGTCCGAGCACCCTTCGGGGTTTTATGCAGACCTACTACGAAGACCACCTGCAGGACGTGGGGCCGCGCACGCAGGCCTGGCTGGCGAGCTCCAAGGACAGGCTGCTGGAGCGCACCCGCAGCCTGTGCCCGCGGCTCCTGTGCGGGACGCCGAGCTGAAGCGGGCACCCAGCTCGCACGTGGGAAATAAAGCTGGTCTTCCGTGTCCAAAACCTTGTGTTGCTGTCCCTCTGTGCGGCCACCCGGCCCCTCACATCCCCCCTGGCCCTGGAGCGGGGGCAGTGGGGAAGGGGATCTAGGGGGAAATGACTCGCGCAGGGAAGGGGGGAACGAAAGACATCAAGGGACCCCTGCTTAAGGATATGGAGGGCTTGGACAGTAAGCTGGGGTACTCTGTCTCCCACCAAATTCCGGGGTTCTCAACTCCTCCTGAGTCCCCAAACCAGCCCTATGTGTGTCATGGTGTGTTCTCCCAATGCGGGTTCCCCATAATGTCACCTGCTGCTGATGGACACGTCACCAGCCGCCCTGTCCCCTGCCCCCACCCCACCCTCCGCAGCACTGTTGGCCAGGACTTTGGCCTAGGCGAGGCAGTGGCCTTGGAGAGAGGGGGGCCCCAGAGCTATAAAGGCTCTTGGCTGCTTCGCCTCCGGGGACAGCACTGGCCTGCCAGAGTCACAGCCTGGTAAGATGTATGTGCGCATGCGTGTGTACAGGGGGGAGGGGGAGAGGGGAGGAGGGGGTTCCTGGGAGTGGAAGTAGTGGGGGTGGAAGGGGCTGGGAATGACCTTCACTCCGTAAGAAGCCCAGGTGGCAATCACAGCGTTCCCAATGGTAGCAGAAGTCAGGCTCCCGCCTGTCATCCCAGCTATTCTGGAGGCTGAGATCTGAGGATCAGGGGTGGAGGCCAGCTTAAGCAGGGAAGTCCATGAGACTCTTCTCTCCAAATAAACTATTGACTAGACAGGAGTGGTGCTGTGGTTCAAGTGGTAGAGCGCCAGCCTTGAGAGAAAAAAAGCTAAAAGATTTGTTCCCAGGCCCTGAGTTCAAGGCCTAATGCCCTCAACATCACCATCACCACCATCCCTCACCCCCCCCCTTAAAAAAAAAATCTGGAGGAGTGGAATTCTGGAATGTGAGAAAGGAAGACACAGCTCATGCGCGACCTGGTGCCCTGGGAATCCTGGCTGGGTGACGGGAGGGGGATCTGAGGACACAGCCCCTCCCTTGGTGGGGCGGGACCCCAGCCCATGGCTCCTCAGGTGATCTTCCTGTCCTCTGCAGTCCAGGTATCACACCATGGGCCTCCGATTCCTGCTGGCTCTGTTCCTTGTTCTCATAGTACTGGGACACGGTGAGTCGGGGCGGGGTGGGGCGGGGCGGGGCGGGGGGGGGGCGGGGAGGGGCGGGGTGGAGTGGGGTGAGGCTGAGGACTCTTAGTTGACCTCTCTCTGTGTAGTTCAGACAGTCCTCCATCCTCCCAAGTGCCGGGATTACAGGCGTGTGTCACCTTGCCCGGCAACTAGTGTTTCTTCACTTTTTCATTCCTATGGATCAGGTTCCAGGGTAACATAAACCTGTCCGTCCTGTCTAAAGCTCCCCTCGATTAACGATCAGCCCCTCATCTCGCCACAGAGGCCCAGGGGGCCCTGCTGCCCCAGACCGAGCCCTTTGCCAGCCCAACTCTACTGGTTCAGGTCCAAGAATCCCTTTCCACGTACTGGGACACGGCCAAGGCTGCTGCACAGGGTCTGTATGAGAAAACTTACCTGCCCAGTGTGGATGAGAAGCTCAGGTACCTGCCCTCCAACACTTACCTGGTCCACACCCCAAGCCTCCTCCCTCAGTCCCCAGGGGTGCAGGCCGGGCCTCCAACCTCAGACCCTGTCTTCTCCTAGGGATATGTACAGCAAAGGCTCGGCTGCCATCACCACGTACGCCGGCATCTTCACAGACCAGCTCCTCACCATGCTGAAGGGAGACTAAATCCCATCATGGGGGAGGGGGATCTGAGCCCCCGCCCCAGGCCTCTGACCCCCTCCACGGGACTGTACTGAGCCCCCCATCCCAGTGGCTTGCATTGTGTTGTCGTCTCCCCAAGATTTGCCTGAATTCTTTCAAATGAAGGAAGAAATAAAGAAAAACATATGCCATTTCTTCTTTTTCTTTTTTTCCTTGCCAGTCCTGGGGCTTGAACTCTGGGCCTAGGCACTCTCCCTGAGCTTCTTTTGCTCAAGGCTAGCGCTCTACCACTTGAGCCACAGCACCACTTCCGGCTTTTTCTGTGTATGTGGTGCTGAGGAATCGAACCCAGGGCTTCATGCATGCTAGGCAAGCGCTCTACCACTGAGCCACCTTCCCAGCCCCTTACACCATTTATGCTTTCAGGTGGCTGCTTTATCTGAGGTGCAGAGCCAAGTATAAGGGCAGATTGAGTTCAGCTGACACGATTGTAGCCTTTACCTAGAACCTGGACCACAGGAATGAAAACGTGAACAAATGCTATTAGCTGTGCAGGGAGATTGTTAGGAAAGTCGAGGAGAAAGAAAGGAAACTGACCAGACTCCATCTTCCACAGGAAAGGACTGTTTTGGGGTTTGTTTTGTTTTGTCAGTTGTGGGGCCTGAACTTTGGTCCTGGGCGCTGTCCCTCAGCTCTTTAGCTCAAGGCTAGCGCTCTACCATTTGAGCCACAGCACCACTTCCGGCTTTTCTGTTTATGTAGTGCTGAGGAATCGAACCCAAGGCCTTATGCATAAAGGCAAGCACTCTCCCACTGAGCCACCTTCCCAGCCTGAGGACTGTTTATTGAGATAGAACAGCGAAGGACATGCCTTCCCATGGGCTTGGAGACTGTAAAAAGGTGGGCCAAGGTGGGCTGGGAAAAGAGACAAGTGGCTTAGTGGTAGAGTGCTTGCCTAGCATGCATGAAGCCCTGAGTTCGATTCCTCAGTACCACATACACAGAAAAAGCCAGAAGTGGTGCTGTGGTTCAATTGGTAGAATGCTAGCCTTGAGCAAAAGAAGCTCAAGGACAGTGCCCAGACCCTGAGTTCAAGCCCCAGGACTGGCAAAAAAAAAAAAAAGGTGGGACAGAAGTTGGGTTTTTATGAGGTCTGAGCAAGGAGGCAGAGGAAAAAGCCATTAGGTGTAGGGAGGTGGGGGCTTTTCGGTTGGACCCGCAATGGAATGTTTACAGCAGGCTTAGGTACATTGGCCCTGTCTGAGTATACCTTTGGTGGCTTGTCTGATGTCTGAATGCACCTGGGAAAACAGGATGGGGTCAATCCTTCAGTGATACACACCTGTAATCCAGGAACTTGAGAGGGTGAACTACAGACAGACCTTCTCTCCAACCAAAGAGACAGAAGAAAAAAAAAAAAAACAAAAACCCAGGCTGGGAAGGTGGCTCAGTGGTAGAGTGCTCGCCTAGCATGCATGAAGCCCTGGGTTCAATTCCTCAGTACCACATACACAGAAAAAGCTATAAGTGGGGCTATGGCTCAAATGAGTGCTAGCCTTGAACAAAAAGAAGCTCAGGGACAGTGTCCAGGCCCTAAGTTCAAACCTCAGGGCTGGCAAAAACAAAAAACAAGCCAAGGGCTGGTGGCTCAAGCATGTAATCCTAGCTACTCAAGAGGCTGAGATCTGAGGATTGCAGTTCAAAGCCAGCCCAGACAGGAAAGTTCATGAGACTCTGATCTCCAATGAACCACCAGAAAACCAGAAATGACACTGTGGCTCAAGTGGTAGAGTGCTTACCTTGAGCTGAAGAGCTGAGGGACAGCTCCCAGGCCCAACAAAACACACACACACACACACACATCTTGAACCCAAGATGTGACATCAGCAGCAGCCTGGACCATTTTTTTTTTTTTTGTCGGTCGTGGGACTTGAACTCTGGGCCTGGGTGCTGTCCCTCAGCTCTTCAGCTCAAGGTGAGCACTCTACCACTTGAGCTACAGTGCCACTTCCAGTTTTCTTGTGGTTTATTGGAGATAGGAGTCTTAAGAACTTTCTTGCCCAGACTGGCTTTGAACTGCGATCCTCAGATCTCAGCCTCCTGAGTAGCTAGGATTACAGGCATGAGCCACCAGTGCCTGGCCATCTTTTTCTTTTGACAGCTGTGGGGCTTGAACTCAGGGCCTGGGAGCTGTCCCTGAGCTCTTCAGCTCAAGGTTAGGGCTCTACCACCTTGAGCCACAGCTCCATTTCTGGTTTTCTGGTGGTTCATTAGAGATAAAAGTCTCACAGGCTTTCCTGTTTAGGTTGACATTGAACTACGATCTTCAGATCTCAGCCTCCTCAGTAAGTCACTAAGCTAGTCACCAGTGCCCAGCTAGTATCCCGGTCCTTGAGTGGCACTGTTTATGGGTTGGTGGCACTAGGGCTGTATCCATCCTCTACCACTGAGCCACACAGCCCGCCAGGCCCCTGTCTTGTGGTTGACATATGGTCTGGAAGTGAATTGCTCAGAGTCCTGTGACACAAAGATGGCAAGCTTGCAGATGGGTTCCCACTCAGCTTGAGAAATCAATGCCTGTGCTGGCTGTGAGCCAGGAAGACTGTCAGCCAAAGCCTGGGCGGATCTTTATCAACAATGCCTTCACAGTGCATGTATTTATCAAGCACTTCCTAAGGTTGGAGGATACAACACAGCAGGGCAAAGACAGTTAGTGCTGACCTCATGTGATCTCTCAAAATGTCCCTCACTGATCAGGACCTGTTGCAAGTTCAGATTTCATGATTATTGAATTCGTGTGTGTGTGTGTGTGTGTGTGTGTGTGTGTGTACATGTATCTGTGGGGGTCGGGGGTTGGTGTGTGTGGGGGTGTTCCTTTCTCTCCAGGTTGGCCTTAGACATCCCAGGCCCTCACAGAGCAAAAAGATCCTTGGGTTGTTATCTGAGAATGGTAGTGCATGTCTGTAATCTCAGTTACCCAGGAGGTGGAGAGCTGGAGGATAGTGGGGGGTGGGGGTGGGGCACAGAGTCAGGAAGTCCCTGTCTCAAAAACAAAATTACCAGCCAAAGAGGCTCAAGCAAGTACTTGGCTTGGGTCTTGGGTGTTGTCTCTCTCTCTGGAGAGGCAGAGTGTTGGGGTGGAGACCCAGAACTGTCACTTAAAGGCATAGGTGATCAGGCTGGACTGCAGAGGGCTATGTGGCTGGAAAGTAGGGGGAGGGTAGAGAGGCTCTTATTGGGCCCCCGGGTCAGAAATGGGGGCTTGGTGGACAGACCAGGGTATCTATCTAGCAGTGGGGACTTTGCTGGGGAAAAGGAAAAGGTGGATGAATAAGAGCAGAAGCTCCATGGTTTGCGGGTGAGCAGGGCTTGGCCCCTGGGTGAAGTGTGCCCAAAGCCTGAGGGCAGTACCCACCCCTTTTCCAAGTGCCATGAATAAGGCTGTTGCTTTCAGAAGATCCACAGGCTGCATTTGTCCTCATTTCTTTGGCATCCACCCTCCAGCCAGTCTTTCAACATTTCTTTTTGGGGCAACTTTCCCAGGTCCTGAGGTTGGGCAGCTGTGAACCCAGCAGAAAAACAGGGGCCCAGCCAAGGGCTATGGGTAATGCCCCCAAGCCCGGAGGGCCTGGGAAGAACTGAGCTGCCAAGCCTAGTGGGTGAGTGGGACAGGGGGGAGATCCTGGGGGAACAATCCTTGCTCTGTCCACTTGTTTCCCACAGACTCAAGCCAAATCAAAACCATGGCCCAGGCCAGCTCTGCTTCCAACCAATCTGGAAGCCATTCCCAAGCTCCTCCTTCCTTTCTCAGAATCCCCTCCCCCACATACACACACCCTAACTCCCTTCAGGACCCCAGCATCCAGGCCCCCAGACTCTTCTATTAACTCAGAAATCTGGGCCCCTGATACCTCCTCCCTCACACTTAGCAAATGACTCAGAATCTTTTCTTCCTCAGGACCCTAAAGCTCAGGTCCTTTCCAGACTCATTGGTGTTGGGGCACCCCCTAGTGGAGGGTACAGTGTGCAGAGTACCCTGCAGTTCCCTTAAGAGAATGGAATTTATTTGTTTATTTTTTTTATTTTTAGGTGCTTGAACTAGGGCTTGAACTCAGAGCCTGGGAGCTGCCCCTGAGCAGTTTTTATGCTTTTATGCTCAAGGTTAGCCCTCTAGCACCTTGAGCCATAGCTTCATCTGCAGTTTTCTGGTGGTTCATGGGAGATAAGAATCTCATGGACTTTCCTGCCTGGGCTGGCTTTGAACCAGGATTCTCAGATCTCCATCTCTTGAGCAGCTAGGATTACAGGAGTGAGTCACTGTGCCCAGCTGAGAATGGAATTCTTTATGGTCACTTACAAGCCAGGGAACCTGGATCTCTGCAGGACCTTCTCCAAAGCCTTTGGTCTAGCTGACTGTCACTGTAGGAGGCTTAAGAGTGAATTTGGAGTACTTTGTAAATAGAGCTGAGAGCAGAGGAGCTCAAGGTGAAGCTAGAGGATATTTATTTTCCCAGCACCTTGCATACCTGGACTTTCTGTCTTCTTTTATCTAAATCCTCAAATATATTTTTGTTGTCATTTTTGGTGCTGAGGATGGAATCCAGAGCCTTGTGCAAGCCAGGAGACAAATGCTCTATGATTGCCTGAGCTACATCGCCTGAAGTATATTTTGTTTACCAGCTGTTATTTCTGATACAGGGTCCAGGCTGGCCTAGAACTCATAGTCCTCCTGCCTCAGTCTCTCTCAGTACTGAGATTACAGGTGTGTAGCGGTGCTTAACAAATTGTCTTATTTTGTGTGTATGGGGGGGAGGGATGCTGGTCCTGGTCCTTGAACTCAGGGCCTGGGCATGGTCAAAGATAGCACTCTACCATTTGAGCCACAGCACCATTTCTGGCATTTTAGCATTTGATGAACTGGAGTTAAAAGTCTCATGGACTGTTCTTCCCCGGGCTGGTTTTGAACTTTGATCCTCAGATCTCAGCCCCCTGAGTAGCTGGGATGATGGGCATGAGCCACTGAG